CAACACCAGTCAACTGAACCCCACCAACTCCCCCCATTCCGCCAAGTGCAACTGCAGTGGAGGCAGTGGAGCTCCCGCCTGCGGTCGACCTGCAGGAGGCCTCGAGAGCGAGAGCGCAAGAGCAGCGCAATAGGAGGCTTCGGGAATTAAAGCCAAAACGCTCTGGCAAGGCCACAAGCACTTAACTTGGCGTAGTAGCTCGAAGTGATTTTGCAAAAACTCTACACGTTGAGCCCCCGGATCCTACAGCTTTATGAGCGCTGCGGGTTGCAAAAGGCACAGAGCTCATGGAGCCTGCAAGGAGCTTCAAACTTCAAACTCGTGCGCTTTCCAAGCACCCTGACTGCTGCGTTCGAAGACGAAGGAATGCACTCTGCATCTCAGTAGTTGATGTCCTCCCAGCCAAAGCCCTGAAAGGCTTATGCGACAAGACTCCACCATAAACGCAATTTGGGGGCCTGAAATTTTGCATTACTGTACCATTATGGGGTTCCTTAGTACAACTATGTTATCAACCCACCCAAAGACATGGTCTAGTTATTTCAGCCCCGTACAAATAATATGCCCAAGCCGATCGGGAGTTCCCAAATTGAGGATGCTCTTCGTCGCACTCGCAAAAACCGAAGACCCTCTGAACTGCGTCATCCCAAGGGGTACACAGTCACAATGCAGGGTTTCTGCATGACACTTACACAACTCCTTCGAAAGTTGAGCCTCAGGGAGCAGTCTGCCTCAGGCACCTCCACTCCCGGAGGAAGCGCCACCGCCGCTGCCTCCAGGGGCGCCACCACCGCCGGGCTCCCAAACTCAAAGTCACAAGACCCAGATCTTCAAAGGTGCCTTGATTTGTTTTTGGGTTTCTACTGGGTGTTGTGAGGATGCTATCGGTGTTTGCACAGATTTGGTATTTTCTGGGGATAACGCAAAAAGGACCCTGCTCGTAGCATAATAGTTTATGCAAGCTTATGCCATTTGCTTCCTTGATGAAGGGAGGTTGGAGCCACCAAGCCGTCTTGCTTTAGAGAGAGGCTTCGCTCTCTTCAACGCAGCTTGCGTAGAGCAACCATTTCAAGCACTTGGGGTGTGGCAACCTGCTGCTAAAGTCCTGAAGAGCTGTTGGCCAAGAGCCCAGTTGAGATCGACTGCGGACATTGGGGCGTTGGGACAAACTATAGTCGCAAGGAGTAATACTACTAACGGTTGACCCCAGTATATCAATATCATCCCTGCCCTCAGTTGCATGGCCTTCCACCCCTATAGAGATTCGGATGCACAAGCCGCATGAAGTAGTGCCTAGCTTAGGGTTTGTCAAGGGTGGGTGTGACGATTATGGGCTGTGGTTCAAGACTTTGGCGTTCAGGGTCGGGAGTGTAGGGATGAGGGCTCTGCTGCTTTCTCGCTTCTGCCACAAAAGGCCCTTGGCATCCTGGACTGCATCAGATTACACGGGGTGGTTGTTTTCTGATTACTCAACCCTCATGCCCGAAGCTGAGGAAGGACGAAGCCAAATGACCAGGCTCCGGGGAGGTGCAGCCCGTGACATCTTGAGACCGTGATAAAGTCAAGCCACAAGGATCAAGGAGCAGGACGGTCGTTGCATCCGTCCCGGTCCGCTCAAGTTGAAACCTATGAGGTTTGTTGCTCCACTTCGGTTCCCTGCTTAGGCTCCTACAACGATGGAGCCATACAATTAGTCATCGGAGTGTATCTGCTAGCACCATGACTTTTCAGCGACTGAAGACTTGTAGTATCTTGTAGTATTCTGGAGTCTGTAATGTACTGTGGCCCTAAAGGCCTTCCTACCCGATATCGCTTGCGCCTGAATACATGACCGTCAGACAATTTGTACGTCGCTCTACTTGCACCCGGACGGAAGCTTCTCAAGATGTCCTGCGGCAGTGCCTCACAGCATGATCCATGCTCGCGGAAAGGGGAAAATGAGTTGTTTGCGAGCTCTTGTACTCAAGCTCTTGAGGATCACACAGGACCATCTCATGGCGCGGAGCGGGCTGAGGAACACAACACAATTCGTCAATTGACTTTTACATGCGTTCATGCTGTGGAACTTCCTTTTCTTCCACTACAGACTACACAATCTCCATCAGTCTCCCAGCGTTCCATCTGGATGTATGGGGCTAGGGTTTATTAAACAGCTCGGGCCCATCACGTCGTGAAGTGTTCGAGTAGTATCCAACTCGTCAGACATTGCACCTTCTGTTTCGGTCGTTACTCGCAGAGTGATCAAACTGGCCCTGAATGGCAGCCGTGGCCCAAGCATACTTGTACAGACATTTGTTGCCTCTGGGCTTCTGCGGCGAGAAGGCTTGGCGACCGATCTTGGCCAAGCTTGTTCTACATACGCAGAGCGGGCTTCTAGGGTTTTGACCTGGGAGGTGAATGAGCTCGCAGCCAGGCCCTTCAGCTCTAAACCGCCCTAAACCCTTCTTGGCAGGCACTTAGGCCCAGGACCTCCTGGCCCGTGATTCCCTCGAATGTGTACTAGGGTCTAATTCGGGATTTTGTAGAAAAAGGTTATGGTACTTCATTGTAGGTTATAGGCCATTGGGCTTGGATATCGGAGCTCAAGCTTTTTGTTGGGCTTCAACCCCGAGCAACGGCACACCTTGGTAGCCAAGGCACCAGTAAAGCCACCTTTCCCAGAGCCATGAACCGAACCATAAACCCCGAACGCCCGAGCTCTGAACCCTACACCAAACAGCCCGCTACCCGAAACCATCTTTCCCTTCATCTTGTTTTTCCTTTTCTTGCTGTGTTCTCTCTTTTTCTTTTTCTTTCTCTTCATCCTGTTTTTCATTTTCTTGTTGTTTTCTTTCTTTTGTTCATCCTGTTTTCACTTTTCTTGTTGTTTTCTATCTTTTTATTTTTCTTTATCTTCATCCTGTTTTTCATTTTCTTGTTGTTTTCTTTCTTTCTCTTTTTATTTTTCTTATCTTTCTTTTTCTTTTTCATCATTCTTTATATCTTCACTCTTTTCATCCGCATTCTTAGAACCACAAGCGCCAAGCCAAATGAAAACGGCATCAGAGCAAAGCAGCTTTGAGACCTAAACTCTGCGAGGCATGTGTAAAGACGCGGCTACGAGTGTGGAGTCCTGGCTAGCAGCTTTCGCACAAGGCGGAAAGAGTGTGGGGGGGAGGATCAAGTAGGGGCCCGAAGAGCGAGAATAAACGCGAGAATATACTTATGGTCAGGGTTTTCAGATGGTAAGAGTAGAATGGGCTGGAGGGGTATGCTGGAGTCCTACAAACTGAACAGGGCCCATCACCGTCTAGCTACTCGGTTCCCATGTTGTTTGCAATGAAGAAGGGTGGGTCAAGCAACAGGCGTTGGCTTAGGCTTCTCGGGTGCTTTATGGTAGGTCCTCATGGGATTTGTCGGGGGCTTGCTCCACTTCTCCGTTCGTTGTCTGGGAACGGGCGATGAAAAGAAAGCGCCTCAACCCATTCAGCCCCACATTCCCTATAAGCTCTTGAGAAGCTTGTGATAGTTCGGAGGCCTTCGCTCGGAGGATGTGCAGCTTGAGGAGCTCTTTTTGAAGACCTGCTCCTTGGTCTTACAGCTTATAGGGTTGGGGGAGTCTTGAAAGACATGCACCTTGGGTTTAAGTGATGCTTGGGCTTCTTACAAGAACTGCTCCGAACATGCAGCAGGGCTCATATCATAATATCTGCAAGGGAACCGTATCCACCATCCTATGCAGCTCAGAGCCTTCAACCTCAGCTGACTCGCTGTTGCGACAGAGCTTGCTAGCCTCCTGTGGCTGAAGGCTACTGGCGGGACCTTCTGGCCTTCACCTGGAACCTCCGGACGCTGGAAGGCGTCGCAGAGCACCTTGGAATCGAGATCAGGTCGAAGCTTTGGTCGGCGCTGAGAGATGAAGCAATGATATTGTGCTGGCTATGGTTAGTATAGGGACGATCAAGGGATGTGATTACCCATTAATCAGAGGATGCCTCTAGCCCTGACTCTGGGTCCAGGATCTCGGCCATGTTACGGACAGTGCTTCCAAGAGTCCAGCCGCATTCTTGGAGCATCAAGGACCCGTGGGAACAAGGATCCCCAAGACCCCTTCGCACTCTTCTGTTGCAGCTTGGTGGAAGGCAATGAACCCTAAAAGGAAGCAAGGCCTGGAACCTTCTGCTTTCAAGCCTCGACGCCTTAAACCCTCAAAACCCTCCACCCTGCCAGGAGACGAAGGCCCTCCCCGACGGCACGATCGAGGCATGGTTCGATTTTGAGACTGCGGAGGCCTTCGAAGGGTTGGGTTGCAAATTACAGGCTCTAAAGCTTTTGGCGTGTTATGGGATGTCTACAGTAGGGGTTGATTAGACACGGCTGAGCAATTTCAATCAAGGTGCACCGTGGCACAGCATAGAAGCTCAGGGCAGGTCTGCCGAGTCTGCGCCTGCGCATTTGATCGCGGACTTCTTGTTTGGTTCGCTGCTGCAGCCGCAGTCCACTCGCCGGAGTTCAAGCCTAAGAATTAAGAACCCTAACTCCCAAACCCCTCCAAACCCTGAAGACCAAACCCTTAACCCCCTGAGCCCCTACCCCCCGAAGAGAGTGAAAAGTGCCCCGAAAGCCCTAAACCACTAAAGTCTAAGCTCCACACCCGAAACGAAGACCTTGCTCGCTTGCTGGAGGCTGTCTGCACCGGGCAGGTGAAGATGCGAGAAGGCCCAGAAAACCACGGGTTTGGGGCGTGAAGGCTTGAAGGTTTTGCGGTTAGGGCTTCAGGGTGGTAGGATTTTGCGGTTGTCGAGTTTGGTCCCTACCGCGTAGTAGGGATACTGCCTTCGAATGCAGTTTTGGGGCTCGTCTCGCTGTTCAGGGGTTTGCGTTTTTACGGTTCCGGCAAGTTGCTATATAGCACACTATAAACGGAGACCCTGTCAAGCATTTAGATGACCCTGAAAAATCAAGCGCTTCCCAGAAGAGCTTTGCCTGGTGAAGGTCGCTGCTTCACCTTCTTCACCAGCATGCAGCAACTGAAGGGTCACGAGGCATCTAGGTTTATATAGGGTGCTGCAATGTACAGTGCAATCGGTATGCAAGTGTAGTGGGATTGGGGCTTGCACATGGGTAGATGGGGAGTTGCGGCTCGGATAGATGTCAGTTTTCAACTTCTACTCGGAGACTTGGAATTCCGGCCGCAAGGTTCAGGCACGTTTCGAAATTTCACTGCAAGCGGTCGATGTTTCATGCCGTGAAACTACAGCAATTTGGAAAAGTTCTGCAAGTCGCACATCGGTTCGGCATTTCTTGGGATCGGGTGGGAAACGACGCGAGAGTGGGGGGTGTACCACACAATCCGACCCGAAACATCGACAGGAACAGACTGGCCCACGCCGCCCGGTGGGTGGACATTATGGTGCTGTGAAGCACCGAGAGGCCAGCAGGGCTTTGTAGTCTCTCGCAGAAGTAACGGCACGTTCTCCTGACAGTGACGCAGGGATATAGGAAAGTAAACGACATGGACCCTTTTTCGGGGGAGCGGTGGGGGGTTGCTAGTTACATTACAATTTGCAAGTGTAGATTTGGAATTTGGCTCGTGGGTGCGTCGGTACTAGTCGCCCTGGCCTTAGACATCCTAATGCATGCATGTGCTTCTGTGCCCAACAGCCGGACCCTCACCTTCTGTGAAACTAAAACCTCGTACTACGTATGGCTCAGGGTTGAAAAGTTTAGATATCACCCTTTTCACCCTTCTGGGTTGATGTATCAGAACAGCTTTGCGATTTGGGCCGCAGAACTTGGCAACTGCATCAAGCTGCCAGAACCCACTCGTTTGCATTGTTTTGGTTTAACCCCAATGATTCAATGTGCATAGAAAATTGAAGACCCTGCCCAACACAGTGGGTTACAAGGTAAGGCACCTTTAGGCCAAAGCCCCAAACCCTACCAGCCCGACGGCCCTAATCCTCTTACAGATCCCAACATACTCGTTGTTCTGCAAACTCGGCAGAGGCTTGGCCGGAGCTCCTCGCACGCGAGCACGCTGAGATCGGCAGCAGGGAGCAGCCCTTTGCTGCTTTGCTAGAGCTTGGTCCAGGGGCTGAGAAGGATTTAGGTTGTAGGGCTGGGGCTCAGGGGTTCAAGGAGGGTGTATATGGAGCCAAAACCGTAATGCTTGGAGGGTAGGTTGCATGCAACGACCTTCAAAGCTCGAGGGCAGATTTCGTGGTTTATTGGCATGAATGAACTTGAGGCGGTAGATGCATCAACGATATGAAGAGCAGTCTTGGCAGGCGTAGACAGGGTTCCTGCTAGCTCGGCTCATCGTTTCAGCTGCCAGAGTCGAAAGTGGGTTCGTTGCACTACCAGTAAGTTATTGCTTTAGTAATTGGGGAGTGGGTAGCCACTCGAGACAGTGTTTCAAGCTTGTTTTCACTATGCGACAGGATTAAATGTCTGAGGTGAAATGTCATTAGGTAAGGCAAAGCCGCCTCTTGCCGGCCCCCAGAGTGGAGCCAGTTTTTCAAGGTTTGAACAAGATTCGCCTGGGCAAAAAGCAAGCCCAGTGGCTCCTCGTTGCCTTCTTGACGCCGAAAACTCTAAGCCCAAGACCTTTGACCTTGATTTTGGAGAGGCTCGGGTTCATTCTTTCAAGAGGGACTGTTTCTGTCTGTAGGGACATGGAAAAGGGCACTGAGAGGGATGGAGGAGCGATTTGTGCAGCACAGACGCAGGGAGCGCAGTTGGCCACAGGATACTGAATCCTGCGATCCAACCCCGCAGCTGACAAAGGTCGTCATCATCGGTGGGGCCCAGTCGGGCATCGTGTTGGCAGCTCTGCTGAAGCCATGGAGTGCCTGCAATGATGCGAGATCGCTTGCGCGAGTTCTCGGTTAGGAGTAGACAGGACTGCCCCGCGGACCCAGCCCTAAAACCTTAAACCCCAAAACCTTACGTGCAGCTAAGCGAACCTGCTAACACAAGAACATTATGATAGGGAGCGTGCAACATGTAGGTTTCTTGGTCAGGTATGCTTCACACTCCAAGCTTGAGTCCCTGCAGCATGAGGCGGCTCGTCTCCAGAATCTTGGCGTCCCCTACATCGTCCTGGAGAAGAACCCAAGCCCAGGCAGCTTATGGCTGAACTTTGGGCCAGGGCGCATGCAAGTGCCGGCGCTGGGCCTAAGGCTTACAGGGTCTGGGGATTTAAGGTTTTGAGGCTGAGACGTTTACTGCTCCTGCATGGGGTGTCAAGTATGAAGCCACGTGCCTGCAAATCTAGTCAGTGGACCGTATCTCTTCCTGGCATGGCCGTGGTTGGAGCCAACACCGGTATGCAAATGGTTTTAGACTGCAAGCTATTCATGGGGCTTGGTTTTCAAGCTTCTCAGGAGGTGCAAAGAGCAGGCGCTCTTAGGAGGCTCCTCGCATCAGGCCACCAATGGCGGCACCGATACAACTCGCTGTGTGACTCGTTTGCGACTGGTTCTGGTTCGTTGGGCTTAAGGCCGTATACATAGTGTCCTCCTTCCACTTCATGGGTGATATGCTCGCATGGGTCGCACATAATCCGGCCAACTCCAGTAGCCAGAGGCGTTTACGCGGCATGGCCATGCCCCGGTTCTTGACGCATAGACCTCCAATGCTCAAAGCGGCGTTTCAGAAGCAGGGACCAACATCCGAGAGGCGTTCAATTCAAGAGAAGCGGCCTAAGCAGAGCCTTGAGATCAAAAGCTCCTCGACACCCACTCCTCTACACACGGCATTCGGGAACGCTTAGATTCTTTGCTGAAATGCCAAAAACTTGCGGCCAAGGCTTGCACGATCCTGTTTGGGTATGCCACCTGCCATACCTGCCGCAGCTTGATTATCAACTGAGCATTGGCCTTCCGATACAAAGCACAGGAGAGTTCCTGCCAGGGTTGGTAGCTACAAGCTGGCATTTTTCAGCAGTTTTCAGTATCTCATTGGGCAATATGTCAGCAGACACCCCAGATGGTTCAAAGGTTCCTTCCCAGAGTAAAAGAAAGCAAGACCTCAGAACGTTTTTGAAACCTGCTAGAACTACAGTTCTATAGAACGAAACATGCCTTGAACCGTGCCTTGCAGTTAAGGAGGGGGAGTTGTGCGGTGTCGGCCCAAGGGTGACTTTCAGGATCCTGTCGAGCTCAAGGGCCTTGGTAGAAGAGCTGGAGGAATAGCAGCCGGCTGCAGATTCTTCCTGGGTGATTTTCCTGCAGACTCTGCCCTTTGTCTTCCAGGCTGCAACAACAAAGCTCAGACCTGCTGAACAGCCAACACCAAGGTTTCCGGCGCAGTGGCCCTTGTATGCTCCGAAAGATGCCTGTACTTATTAGTGCTGGGTGGGGGTCCAGAGCGGGAGGCTGCACAAAGAGGTACAGAAAGTGGGAGGAACCTGAATGTAAGCACCCTCAATAAGTTGAACTCCTGAGCAGAAAAACCCACATATCCTCAGATTTACTATACACATTGAGGGCATGATAAGGTTCCATAGTGTGGAAGCATCCGCTTTGCTGATGAGCATATCTTCTGGTGTGTATTGACTTATCCTGTCATCATACCTCCAAAATGCCCAGTATGATGATTAAGGCGAAGAAATCAAATCGCATAGCTCGACTCCCCCAACACGAACCATTTGTGCAGGCAGGCCGACACCCAATTTAGCGAACCGTTTGAATCCACGGACTGCAATCATATTGTCTACTGGATAGGCGGAGTCCACCTGCCTAGTCGCCATGCTTGGCAAGCAGTACACACACACACACATCCTGGAGAGGCCTTTAAGCCTTTGAGAATCAGCTTCTTTCTCTGGGCTGCCGAGGATAAAGTGGCAGACTGGCTTGACTTCTACGCTCAGATGCTGGACTTGAATGTGTGCCTTCGGCTCACAAAACGTTAAACGCAGATGGATATGCTACCTATTGACAGAAACCTACGAACACGTAACTGGCTTCTAAACCAAAGATGGGTCGACAAAAGAGGCCGAACAAATTCACGAAGCTTGCCAGTGTGACGGTTCGGGGAGCCCAGCCAGCACACCTTGGGCCCCAAAGCTGTCCGGCATATCCAAGCTTTCCACCTGAACGAAAGCCATTTCCATCGACTGATACCTTGTCCATGTCGAGAAAGCTGAGATCCGATAGATATGTTTCAGTAGTAGATGCTGCGCACAGGTGGGCCAACTCTCTCTGTGAGTCAGCATCCTGGAACGAGCCTCCCGGCATCAGGTTGCAGAACCTCAGGCTTCAAGCGTTGACTGGATCCGAGTTGTTCTGGAAGGGTTGAGGAGCTTTTTCTGAGTAGCCCTCTGTCTTCCTTTTCAATGAGAAGCCCGACGGCTTTCATCCGCAGTACCCTAAGCCCCACAGCCTAAACTCCACAAACCCAGGCCTGGCGGCCGAAATGATAAGAAGCATCGGGAGAATTATAAGATCAGCCCCCCACCTCTTCTTCGGCGCCTCGAAGGAAGACCAAAGACTGGACTCTTTGCGTGCGGAGAGAAGGCAAAGAGAGCCTCGCCTTGGCTGAAATCCGGTTGGCGGTTTGGTTCGTGGCTTTCTGCTTGTGCAAGGCAGTTTTTTGTAAGTCTGCCCCATTGCCGTACCGACTGCCTGGTCTCAAAACGGGCAGAAAGGGAAGGACAAACCCTAAACCTTTTCGGGTTTAGGATCTTGGTTTTGTGCGGCTTCGGATTTGTGAGCACTTACAGGCCAGGCTTGGGGTGCTGGGAGGACGAGGTTCTACAATTGTGCAGTCACTCAGGATCGTGCTGCAGCCGAAGCACGTCGTCATGGCAACTGGACATCACGGCCCGCCAAACGTTCCCACGTTCCGCGGAGACTTGTCCCCGCGAGTACACCGAAAGCGAGCCTAGGGCCAGTTCTCTCCTTCGGAGTGAGGCGAACCCCCGACATCCGGACGACAGCACAGCTTCAGGTCCCGATGCCCCTATGGCGTTGCCCCAAGCCTGCCCTGTGCCCTAGAATGCGAAGCCTAAGACCTAAAAGAACCCCCGAAAGCGAGCGCCGTAATAGCTTTACAAGAAATTGCAACTGAGGATCTGAGAACTTCCAAGGCGAGTTGATGCACTCTTCCTCATACCAAGGAGCCGCTGCTTTCGCTGGAAAGAACCTGGATTCAAATCTAGTCACATGAAGCCTAGGGCCTAGGCCCCCCCCCAACACTGGACAGCTTGGAAGCCAGCGTTTTCAGTCAAGGGTCCTGCCTGTGGCAGCTTCCCAGTACGAGTTGCAACTTGTGGTGTTGCCACGTGTTGTTTGCAACTTGGTGCAGCGGGAATGTCATCGGGTCAGTGTCTCAGGACGGTATCATAGAGACTTCCAAGCATTACGGAGCCCCACGCGAGAATCTAAGCCGAGCCCCCTACACATGTGCTACCCATGCGATGACAATTAACGCCTTAATCCGCATCTCAGGAATGTCGTCGTGGTGGGATCGAACACGTCGGCACATGATATTTGCCAAGATCTATGGGAGCATGATGCACCTCCTTGAAAGAACATGTTGGGTGTCGTAGTGTTTCAGGATTCGAGATACGGTGCTTTCGAAGTGATTCGAGGGTCACGAAATATTTCAACCTAACACCCTGAACCGCAAGCCCTTACCCTAGTCATCGCTTCTCGCAAACTGTGAAGTCAAAGATTTCGTACAGTGCTTTGGGCTGGCGGTTCGCAGCAAAGGAGAGAGGCTCACAACACGTCTGTTGAACGACCTCTTTCTAAGGATGTCATATAGCCAGTAACGGCTATGCCGCCGTGCCGGTTCCTTCGACCACCCAGGCTGCCGTTACCATGCTCCAGCGCGGCTCCACAACTATCGTTTCTGCCGCAGCCCTGAGGGAGGTCCTCCTCAAGGCGAAACGGAGAGCTTTGGTTTTAGGGCCTGGGCTGAGGGGCCAGGCGGCTCCGGGTTGAGGGGTTTGGGGTTGAGGCATTGCTTATAAGTCACATTATGACGTTTCGAGCTTCTAAGATACGGCCTGTCACTGGACCCGGCCCAGCCCAAGGCCAAGGTCTCCATGGTAGGGTCCCCCTGTAGTTGGCCCACCTCTTCAGAAGTGTCATCGATCAACTTCCAGCATTTTCGGCTCTGAGCTTATAATTCCATACATGAAGGTTCACACCTCACTTTGTTTCAGTTTGCCTCGTCCCGACTTTCAGTCGTTTGCCTTTCGAGGGTTTTAATCTGGGGTTGACATTCAGATCCTGCAAGGCCAGGAAGCAGGTAGTAACGAATATCGATGCAGCTGAAGCCCTTTCGAGTCCACGGCGGACGGGTTTAAGGGTTCATGGCCTAGGGGTTTCGGACTTAGGGGTTGACGGTCAAAGAGGTTAGGACCAAGGGGTGTAGTCTTTTTGAGGTCCAGGATTCCGGCTGGCCAGACCATACAAGAGCACCGCGAATGCATCGTTTGCCCCGGTCCTGTTCGGGTCCCTGATATAAATATCAGGAGAGGTCCTTAAACAAGAACAAGGGTCCCCCAGAAGGGGTCTGTAAAACAAGGGATCCTCACAATCAGGGTTCAACTATGTAGGTTCTATATATTGATGTCCCTCATGTTCAGGACCTCTATTCCGAGGAAGCGCTGGACACTAAGCTGCATCCTGAACATGGGGAGACGGGGGGATCTGTTGCAGAGGGTGCTGCCCTTCATGCTCGAATGCTGAAAGTCTCTACTACAGATGTTCGCACTATCAAAAAACTTGTCTCAAGACTCTTCATGCCCGTGCATTAGTTGCCTAGACACTCCGTTGTAGTTGCTGTTGTTGTCTGCCTTCTTGATCTGAATCACATCGGAGTGTCTATAGGTAATCGTTGAAGCTCCCAAGGCCACGGGCATGACGACCGAAAAGGCGGACTTGAGATTTGCATCGGAGCCCTACGCAGTGGTCATCGAGGGCATGAAGGTCTGGTCCTAGAGCTCCATGTGCTGATGCCGTGTTTCGGACCTTAGTCAGTTGGCTTGTCGTTGGATTTCGGTATTTCATGACTATATACGAATACTATCAATCTTAGGTTTCATGGTGCTGAGGATAGCTACAACTCGAGATGTGTCGGATGAGGTTCGGAAACCCTCGCTCATGCTGACTTCAAACCGTAGAAGGGCTTGAACGTAGTCCTTACCTTCCTGCTGGGGTAATTGAGGCACGTGAGTGGTGAAAGCATCTAGGATCCATTTTGCACATACAGGGGCATTGGGAGCAAAGCTGATGATAACTAGTCGAGCACACGCACTGCACGTCACATATGCAATCGGCCAGTAATGTCATCTGTCCAGCTGTTTGTCAACCGACTTTGCTTTTTCATGGTGTGTCAGCCTTTTGTTTTCTAAGATGTGTGTCTGCCTTCGTGCCTTTCGCTCTTCCTGCTTGTACGCCTTCATTTGTGCGTGTGTGCGGTCTCTTTGTCCTTGTGGCTCAACCCCGTTGCTTTGGCTTTTCTGTTCTTGCCCTAACTATCTCTCCCTCCCTCCGTGCCTTATGATCCTTCATGCAACCTCGAATTGCAGTCATGCTGCATCGAGCGGCATAATTCTACTGCATATAATACGTGAATGTGCCATGTGACAGGTGGGCAATTACATACATGCCTGGTATGTTGCGGATGCATGCGAGATTGGTGTGCACTCCTCGTCACTCAAGACTGCTTGATTGTTTGTGGGGTTAGGCTGGGCCGCTGTGTGCGAGTGTAGATGGCTTACGCAAGCACTTTTGCAGGAGGCCTGCTCGAAGATGAAAGAGTTCGACAGAGACTCGTCTTGATGGTGTGCATGTCTGTGGAACCAAAAGTCTTTTTGACAACTAATCGGCACGGGGGCCCGCACTTTTTTTTTTTCCTAACGTTGGCGGTCCCCGGCGGCCCTTGGTAAGGTTGGCGGTAAGCCCGGGCAGCCCCAAAATGCTCTGCCCCCTGCAGCGGCAGGGTAACAAGCAAACGTGCCCCGGAAACGATCCCCAAAAACTGGTTTAGAGCTTTCTGTATATAGATACGATGTCGTATATGCTATTTTTATATCATCTACAGATTATCTACGCACTCTCTCTCTCTCTCTGTATATATATATATGGTACGTAAACCTTATGTCCTGTATGTCTAATGTATACATCATGTACATTAGACAGTTTTTGTGATAGTGACACATTTCGTGTGAAACCCTCGATACCTGCCACTTCTTCGTCTGATCGCAGAAGGCGTCGCTTGCAACTGAATCACTCTTGACATGCCTATCAAGACTCTAACTTAGTTCCTGCTTTAAAACTGCGACATCGCGAGAGTCCCCGAATATCTTGAATATAAGCTAGTTAGATCTATCATCGTGATTCCGCAGACCTGAAACATTCGAGCCAGTCTGCACGTGCCGTCAAC